CTTGGGGGATGTCTTTCTGGTATTTCAAACTTACATCTGATAACCACTGATATTCTCTTAACTGATACTATAACATATGATAAGAAAATGGAAAGAACATACAAATATCTGTACAAATACATTATTAAGAAAATGCAATAAAAGCACTCATGTCAGTTATAATCCTCACTTCTGTAACTGGTGACGTGGCCTTAGATGATATTTAGAACTACATTCCTCTGCTATGCATTCTGTATATCTTCCACCTTCTGCAAACACTTCAGAAGTCTTGGGTCTTTTCCTGGAGAAGTGACCCATACCTTCATTCCTGATGCATCTGTGCCCTTTGTCATCCTTCCTGGATTAGATTGTTGTAGTTTCCCATTAACTTTAATCACAGGGCACAATAGCACCAAGAGATGCCCTAAAGGATCTCCTGCACTCCAGATATCATCTTGCTTACCTCCATTGTAGAGAGGCAATCCAATTTCCCCATGGTAATCTGAATATATCATCCTTTCTAATGGTGTTATTCCTTTCTTAGTCTGTTGGTTTAAGGGCATTTGAATCCCAAAATGACCAGGGGGAAGTCTGACTTTCCAGTTCAATGGAATGTTTGTTGTGGCTGGGCTCCTGGCAGAAGCACTCTCTACTCTGAAACCAAAATTTCTAGGCCAGCAGAACTTAGAGTTGTGAATACAAGAAGCAAAAACTTTCCTAGTCGGTTACTAGGGTGATAGTGACTGGAACTATTTCCTTTACCATCCCTTGATTCCTGGACCCATGGTGATCCTGGCTATAGGAGAAACCATACCATATATCAGATGGTGATCCAGGGCATATACTGCCTTCTGGAGAACCTTGCCCCAGCCCTAAAGATGCTGCCACCTAATTGGTACTGTAACTGTGTCTTCAAAAGACCAAAGTCCATTACATCTCTCTATCAGGCCAGCTTCTTCAAGATGCTGGGGAACATGGAAAGACCAGTAGCTTCCATGATTGTGGGCCACTGTTGTACTTCTCTGGCTGTGAATTGAGTTCTCTGGTCAGAAACAATGCTGTGTGGAATATCATATTGGTGGATAAGACATTCTATAAGTCCATTGATGATGGTTTTGGAAGAAGCATTATATGTAGGAAAGGCAAATCCATAATCAGAGTAAGTATCTACTCTAGTAAGGAAAAAGAGTTGTCCTTACCATGAAGGAAATGGTCCAATGTAGTCAACCTGCCACTAGATTGCTGACTTGTCACCCTGAATAATGGTGTCATATCTAGGGCTAAGTGTTGATCTCTGCTTTTGGCTGATCTGGCACTCAGCAGCAGCAGTAGCCAGGTCAGCTATGGTGAGTGGAAGTTCATGTTGTTGAGCCCATGCACAGACCCCATCTCTGCCATCATGGCCATATTGCTCATGGGCCCATTGGGCAATGACATAAATGGCTGGGAAAGGAGACTGTCTACAGAGTCAGCCTATCTGCTTGATTACTGAACTCCTCCTTAGCTGAAGTCACGTTTTGGTTAGCATTTCCATGGGATACAAATATCTTCATACCCTTAGCCCATTTGGAGAAAACTATCCACATACTTCTCTTCCCCAGATGTCTTTTCTCACCAATTTTCCAATCATGCTCTTTCCAAGTCCCTGACCATCCAGCCAATCCATTTGCAGCAGCCCATCAATCAGTGAATAGTTGCACAGTAAACCATTCAGGACCTACTTGGGCCTGATCTCTTATATACCACTTCCATTTGATAATAGATTGCTGCTGTGCATGTCCTACTTTATGACTTGGTGGATCTGATAACACACAGCTCATGATGGGCAGTTCAGGTTGCATGGTAAAATGGTGGCCCACTGTCAAATGTTCAGTTTCTCCCAGTGGCTGGAATTAATGGCATGTGCTCACATGCTTGGCCATGTTTATTTTTGAAAATGATTCTAATGGGCACCAGTTGCAGACACTTGAAATGACTTTAAGAGATATTATATTGTCCCAATTCTCCAATGCTCCTTTTCTTGTATGTTTTAAGTTATCTTCTTTTCTAGGTGTGTGTGGACTATGTAGCAGAGGGTTTAAAACTTACAATGATCTTCCTGCCTCTGTGTTCAGATTGCTTGTGCTAAAAGGATGCACTACCACACACAGCTTGAAAAATAATTTTTATTGTTCAAATCTCCTCTTCTTATTGTGGCCAGGAAGGCCAGGATATGGTGTTAGAACCCCTGATACTGGAGTTATAGATAGTAGTGAGCTTCTATATGTACTGGAAATAGAAGTTGCATAATTTGAAAGAATTTTCAGTGCTCTTAACTGCTAAGGTATTTTCCACCCTAAGTTTTCTATTCTTGATTATGTTTCCTGTCCATGGCAGCCTAGTCAGGGTCAGACAGCTGATGCTCATTAAAAAGTGGAATTTGCCTCCATTTGAGAGAGTTAGCCTCAAGCAGGGATGAGCTCCCTAGTTGTTTATCCAATACAATGTGGTCAGCCCATTATCCATATATATATATACAACCAACCAAAATGGGTGCAGAAGGTTGTATTCATGTATTTCAGTGTTCTTATTCACCCATATTTAACAAGGAAGAGGTTGGAAGGGATTTGTGAAGGGATGGAATGAAGAGATAAAAGTGGAAAGTGATGTAATGTCTTTTAATTAACAATTTATGGAAATAAATTTTAAATAAAAAAGGACTAGATAGATGACTTAGCAATTAAGAGCACTGGATGATTTTACAGAAGATCCAGGTTCCATTCCCAGAACCTGCATGGTAGCTAACCATTTGATATAACTCCAGTCTCAGGCATCTCTCATCTTCTGGCCTCTGTAGGTACTGTGCAGAGACACATACAAGCAAAACATCATATAACTAAAGTTATTTTTTAAAAGTTAGAAAAATGAAAGAATGAAATTCTCTACAATGATGTCATAGCCCTGAGACAGACAGCAAGCCAGGACTAGTTAAAATGAGTTCCTCTGGTCTTGCATTAAAGCAGCTGTGGCCTTCTGCTGAACCAGTCTGCTCAGAGGCAAAAGCACCTTTGTTCTGAGATTAATAGAGATTATTGTAACCATTAATCTAGGAGCAGAGTATACAGTGCTTTAGGTGACTTTTCCTTGAAGCTTTCTGTATTTGTGTTCTCTATATTTTATATCTATGAGAATTGTGGCATTGGTACAGTTATCTTTTAGATTAAACATCACGATTGACAGGTCACATAGGCTCCAAAGCAATTTATTTTTACTGTGTCATTTACTTGGTTTTCAGCTAAGACCTTGTGGTGCAAGATAAATACACCAGAGGCATTTTTTCCCATCATTTTTATAATTTATATATGTTCTTGCATGACTTTGAGGTAAGAAAGACCCTAAATGTCTCTACTTTTACATTGTAATCATGTTCAGAAGTGTATTTGTTAACTGAGCATGCTTGGGAATAGGCAGAACTCTATGTAAACATGTCTAAACTCCCTAAGTAAAATCCATATGCTTCCTTTGTTTAGGAAAAGCATTGTTTTGGAAATAATTCTCATGCTCTCCTTGCCTCCTGCAGGTAAAGAATCTTTTTCATTTCTTCCATCTTGGCTGTTGTGATGGCTATTTTTGGTAATCAAACTGACTACATCTGGACTTAACTAAAACCCAAAGAGTTAGATACACCTGTGAATGATCTTTCTTAAAGGTTTTGAAGTTAAAGACCCATCTTTAATCTGGATCATTTTAGGTGATATGATCCAACTTTAGCTGCTTGGTGGCAGTGCACACCCTTAATCCCAGTTTTTAGGAAGCAGAGGCAGTCATAATTTCTGAGTTTGAGGCCAATCTGGTTTGCAAAATGAGTTCCAGGGCTACACAGATAAACCCTGTCTCCAAAACACCAAAATAAACAAACAAACAATCAAACAAAGAATAAGATCCACCTTTAATCTGGATTGTACCTTCTGGTAGCAGCTGACATATATAAAGGATATTGAAGAAGGAAGTTCTCTCTTTTTGCCTGCTTGTCCTAACTCTGATTATCAAGTTCATTCCTTTGCTAGCATTAGAACCCACTTCTTTGGAATTCTGGTGTATCCTGAAGACCAGCTGAGACATCCAGTCTCATGGAATGAACAACTATTGGATTCTTCACATTCCATTGGTAGGCAGCCATTGTTGGATTACCTGCACCACAGTTTGTGAGACATTCTAATAAATCCACTTTCTACATACATGGAGAGATTTATTCTACCAGTCCTATTCATGTAGAGAACCTTAAATAATGCAGCTATTTTATTTTTTATTTATTTATTTTTCTCCACCTGCCCACCGAGGAAGATGTGCTGGCTAACAGTAGTGCTCATAAAGACATTTTCCTAGCTTCATTATTCTCTAAGTATTCAACTTTCTGTGAAGCCTACTCTTTTTGTTATTATTCATTTGCCAAGAATTTGCTCTGAATTTCATGAATAAAACTCCTAAAGCAATGGAGCCATCATCTAGCCTTCTGATTGGAGAAAGACCTATTATCTTGTTTGAGATCTGGTTCCTGCTTTTCATTCCTGGTTGTCTGAAGTCCCTCCAGTTCATCTGATCTCAGTATGAAACCACAGAACAAAGATCTCCTTTTGTGTCCTTAAATCTCCTTTTAATTGTTAGTATTCTGGGTACCCTTCCACCTATGTGACAGGGTATCATAGTATAGTATAGTGGGCTGTGCAAGCTAACTAGCCACATTGTATCCTGGAGGAAAAAGGGGAAGTGTCTATGGAGTGCAGGAAGATAGCAGGGTCTGCTGTTGGAGGCAGGGACAAGTGCTATTGAAATGCATATCTCTGCTGATCTAGAAAATGTCTCTGTCTGTGGTGGAAGGCAGGGTTAAGAACCATTGTGCTGTGTCTTTAAGCACACTGTAACCCTATAGCAGGTGCTCTTGTCACTCAGGCCTCACTAGCCAATCAGGCCCTCTAGGCGACCTGCCAGTCAGAAGTGGTGCAGGGCTCTTCTGGGCGCCCGAATTCAGGCTTGGCTTTGAAGAGGAGCTGGTACCAGTGGTTTTGTGTGCCGTTCTGCTATTGCTGCTGCAAGGAGCTTGGATGAGCTGGGAAACCACAACATGGTAAGTGAGGGACTGCTGTCCCCAGATGGGTAGGAGCAGATGGTAAGGTGCAGCAGCCAGTGTGGTGGGTCCTCCCCAGATCTGGGTGGGAACTTGCAGCCAGATTCCCTGTCCTGTGAGGTCCCATGTGGTCTTTGCAACTCCCTGGACCCAGGGGCAGGCCTCTGAGTAATTTTCCTGTGTGGGCTGAATCTGCTCAGAGCATTGGGAGCAGGGAGCTCTGTGTAGAAACGTTTTTGTAGTCAACTTAAACATGCTTTTGGTGCATCAATGGAAAGCAGGTTGTGAAACTTGGAGAGGCCTAGTTTCTCCAGTATCTTCTAGATGTTCAGCACTTTGCATTTAATCTTTATGTGTAAGATCCATTTATAGTTAATTTTGTGGAGGTTGTAAAGGGCATCTCAAGTGTTGTGTAGCATTCCACTAGTATGCCACCATGTAGAAGAGTAGAATTGGTGATTTAAAAAATTTACCAATGCTTAGGAGATTGTAAGTCTCACAAAGTAGAATTCAGCTGAGGGAAGACTACGTCTAAAACACCCAAAAGATAAGTATATGCTAACCAGCCCTGTTAGAGATTAGAATGCTAGGATACACATTTGTTCACCAGGATTGTCCAAACATTTGGCTTCAAACCATTACAAAGAAGCCACCCCTGATTTACAACTAGCCACTAGACCCACCCCCATATCAAAGAACAGGCTGCCAAAGGCGGCATTCAGAGTCACAACCAACCTTAAGGCCTGCTGTGCCATAAAGTTCCAGTTTTCTTGAGAAAAGCATAGTTCTGTCAGATGGGCAATATGAAACCAGGTGACAACTATTTGATAAGTAAAAGACTGTTGTGTTAAGTGTGGGCCCTGGTCCCCCACTGTGAGTGGCTGCTGCCTTGCTGACCTTGACCAGATGTCCTCCCTATTCAGATTCCCTGCCGGTTTCCTTCTCACCTAACTGATCAATCAGAGGTTCTTTGTTCCTGTATCCTGCATTTGGTGTAAACAGCTTAGATGCAAAAATGTAGCTCCGGGGATCCGCCATTGTGCTGTAAGTCTGTATTTAAGGTTTCCTCCCTCTTTCAATAAATGGCATTCAGCTGGCATTCCACATTCAGCTGTGGCAAATGACTCTCTGTCTCTTGTCCCTTATTTTTTAATCCGCAGCTCCTCGCTCAGACATGGTGAAAGTATATCAGTAATGTGGGTGTTGCCGTTACAAATGGAGGTCCTACTGAGATTCTACCAAGACACTACCAAGAGCCAAGAAAGAAGGAATGAGCTGACGGACACTCTTAGAAGGCTGGCCAGCATTTTAAAGCAAAAAGAAAAGGTATGAGTGAATTGTCATGGGTGCAAATAGGGCACCACCGAAGTTAAGAAAGGGCAAGACAGCTAAAGATTTGAAATAAAAAAGGAAATCTTCCCAAAAGAGAAGAGGGAAGGAAAGGAAATTTCCCGTTAGAAAAGGGAGAAAAAAATTTTAATCAAGAAAAAAGGATTTTCCCGGTAAAAAGGGGAAAAATTTTGAAACTAGGCCTAAAGATTGGGGCCCTGTAGAGAAAGGATGAACAAAAGAGAGAAGCCTCTTCCCAGTGGTAATGGAGGAAGAAAAGACTTTTTCCAATTGTAGAATTTTCAGGATAGCTGAAACTCTGAGCTCTTTCTGCAGTGCAGCATCTGAATTACAAAGAATCGGCAGGTAGGCCTCATTGCTGCTGGCTGAACAGCAAGTGAGCCCAGAGGTTAGAAGTTTTGCTGTCTGTTTGCTTATTTTGCTTCAAACGTTTTTTATTTTTCCCTCGGAGTGGGAATAATTCAATATTTAGGATCCCTTCATGGGAAATGTTTTTCTGTTTTTCCCTCATGGCGGGAATAACTCATTAGGTAGTCCCTTCATGGAAGTAGGAAGTTTAAACGTGAGTTTGTGTGTGCGGGGCGTGCCCCAGCGGTGACAGCGGCGGACAAAGGCATGCATAAGATAGCCAGGAGTGTCGGGCAGACAGGTACGCGCCGGTGGGAGGCGGAGCTGCAATGGAGCGCAGCCCGGGCGGGCACCAGCATTAGAGTCCAGGCACCAGCACTAGAGCCTGAGCACTGGGCAGAGCCAAAGCTAAGCCACAGCCTCAGCTCGCTCCAAGTGAACAGAGGCCCTAGTGCTAAAAGTTTAAACAGGAATGCATGTGTGTGGGACGCGTGTCCAGCATGGCTGTGGTCAAAGAGATAGCCCTGAGCAGCGGGTGGGCAGGTACGCACAGGCAGGAGGCGGAGCTGCAAGGCCAATGGAAGGGACCAAGGGAGCTGAGTCCGGGAGAGGGAATAACCCTAAAAGTTTAAACGGGCCCAACTTCTGTTGAAAAATGGTTTCGGTCAGGACATAGAATGCTAAGTCAATGCTGTGTGAATAAAGGATGTTTTGTTCTTTTGATTGTCTTAATAAATGTTTGGATGAATATTTGATTCTCATGGTAGATAAACTAAAGGAACAGGATTCATAATTTTGAACTATATATTAGGTGTGCTCTTGTCTGTTGATCATTACTGAAAATTTGGCTCTGCAATTTAAGTTGTTTTCTAGAAATTCTTGGTTTAATTCTATAGAAATATAACACCTGAAATGGATTGGGTTGTTAGCTTATTAAATAATGTTGCTAAGATAAACCCATAAATAATAATCTCTTACTGATAAAGAGGTTACAAAATTATTTTTCCAGTAAATAAAATACAGGTTAATTGTTTGGTCCACATTGTTAATAATTGGCTATTTGCATTAATGTGTCACTTGAAATTTATAAAAAAGGATCCTCTTTTTTAAGATTTTATAAAAATACTCCAGAGTATTACCTAAAGTTACCTCTTCAAATCCTATAGAGATTGTATTTAATACTTTTATAATTGGCATATGTAAAAAGGACCATAGAAACAGAAGCTGGTGATAGAATTGCTCAATTATTATTGCTTTCATATTTTAAATGCAAAATGGCACCTATATGTAGAACTAGAGGCTTTAAAAGTACAGGAAAAAAGGTGTTTTGATAAACAGTTATCAATAATAAGCAGCCTAAATTGAAAACAAAATTATATGGGATTGAGATTGGAAGATTATTGGATTCTGGTGCTGGATATATCTATAATGTCACAAGAATCCTGAGATCCCAATTGGCCCCTTAAAATTTCCACCTCTAACGTACAAGGTATTGGCACAGCTCAGACGCCATTACAGAGCAGGCTACTTTTAAATTGGAAGGATGAGGAAGGTCATGCAGGAACTTTTAAACGCTTTGTGCTACCTGACATTCCAGTGAACTTGTGGGGACGGGATGTGTTAGATGGTATGGGAGCAGTTCTTACTACACAGCCTGTACATCAGATGCTGAAAAGTCATGGCTACTGCCCGGGCAGAGGCTTAGGGAAAATGTTTCAAGGAGACCCACTCCCTGTGGCAGACAAAAACTGTGTCACCAGAGGTCCTGGGGATACTAGAGGACTAGGGTCTTTTCCATAGGGGTCACTATGCAGCAGCCTTTGATTACACAACCAATAAAAATCACTTGGAAAAGTGATGACCCTGTATGGGTGGAACAGTGGCCCCTTAATAAAAATTGGAGGCTGCGAACACATTAGTTAAGGAACAGTTAGATGCTGGACATATCATTCCTTCCACTTCACCTTGGAACTCACCTATATTTGTTATTAAAAAAAAGTCAGGAAAATGGAGGCTATTACAGGATCTTAGAGCTGTAAATAAAACCATGCTTCTCATGGGAGCAACACAACCTGGCTTGCCTGCCCCTGTGGCAATTCCTAAACATTGGCATTTAATTGTGGTTGACTTGAGGGATTGTTTCTTCACCATTCCTTTGCATTCCAAGGACAGTCCTCGCTTTGCTTTTAGTGTTCCTCAGAAAATCTTAGAGAACCTTATCAGAGATATCAGTGGGTGGTAATGCCTCAAGGAATGGCCAATAGCCCTACTATATGTCATTTATGTGTCTTTGGCCCTAGCTCCAGTTCAAAAAGCTTTTCCAGATGTTTATATAATGCACTACATGGATGATATATTAATGACTGCTAAAGATAAAATACTTGTTTTTGATGCCTTTTCTAAATTACAAGAGGTTCTTAGCCTGGCTAATTTACAAATATCCCCAGAAAAGGTACAGACATCTTTTCCCTATCATTATTTAGGTCATGAATTGTTACGCACGGGCATACATCCACAAAATATTACTCTGCGTATGGATCAGCTACTCACACTTAATGATTTCCAAACCTTTCTGGGGGATATTCAGTGGCTTTGGTCCACTTTAAAAATTCCAACAGGTCAGCTTCACCCTTTGTATGATGTCTTAAAGCCCTTTATCTCCCCATAAATTAACAGCTGAAGGACGTATAGCCCTACAACGAATGCAAGAGGCCCTGGAACAGGCTCACATGCGGTATATAGATCTTTCTTCTCCTTTATTGTATTTGATATTTTGTTTTACTCATTCACCTACTGGAGTGTTTTGGCAAACAGGTCCTATTCTATGGGTACATTCCCCAGCTTCTCCAGCAAAAACCATTACTCCTTATCCACAGGCTGTTGCTCAGATTATATTTAAGGGAATCAAGATCAGTGTTCAAACTTTTGGTAAGGAGCCAGATATTGTGGTGACCCCATACACCCAGTCTCAAATAGCATGGTTGCAAGCTAATGATAATGATTGGACCATATTGACATGTTCCATGCAGAGTCGGTTTGATACTCACTACCCCTCCAATGATGTGTGTCAATTTTTTAAATTGCATCCTGTTATATTTCCCAAGATAGTACAGATGGCTCCTATTCCTCAGGCCTGTGTGGTATTTACTGATGGCACTTCACGTGGTTTTGCTGTGGTGGTTTCTGGTAACATAGTAAAGAAAATAAAAGTCCAGGGCACTTCTGCCCAGATGGCAGAGGTACAGACGCTGTTGCTTGCTTTACAGATGTTTTCTGATGAGAATGTAAATATTTATACCGATAGTCAATATGTGGCACATGCCATTATGCCTTTGGAGACCACATCCTACATACCATCCATTTCTCCCATTCATGAATATTTATTGCAAGTGCAAGGACTTATACGGTCCTGCTCACATAACCTTTATGTGGGCCATATTAGAGCTCACACTCAATTGCCTGGACCTCTAAGTGAAGGTAATCAGAGGGCTGATGGTATGGCTGTCACATTAGTTTGTTCTGCCTTTGATAAGGCTACTCAGTTGCATCAACGTTATCATCTTAATACTGGATCTCTTCATCATCATACAGGCATAACCCGGGAACAAGCCATCCAGATAGTTAAATCATGTCCTATTTGTGTTGAATTTTTATCTCTTCCTCATTTGGGAGTTAATCCCCGAGGACTTTTACCTAATCATGTGTGGCAGATGGACGTCACACATGTGCCTTCCTTTGGAAAATTACAATATGTCCATGTGTCTATTGATACATATTCTTCTCTAATTTTTGCTTCTGCCCATTCAGGGGAAAAGGTTAAGAATGTAAAGAATCATTGTCTTCATGCTTTTGTTTACATGGGAGTGCCAAAATGCATAAAAACTGATAATGGTCCCGCCTACAGCAGTACAGGATTTTCAAAATTCTGCCAAGACTTTTCTATTGCTAATAAGACTAGTATTCCTTATAACCCTCAAGGACAGGCTATAGTAGAATGCTGCCATCATACCTTAAAAACATATTTCTAAAGTAAAAAGGGAGGAGCTAGGGGCTCATCTCTGTTAGTTTTTCGGCTGCGTTGTGTGATTACCCTGCAAGGAAATGCCACGAAACACGACAGAATCCGCTAACAAGAGTTTTATTAAAGGTAAAGGGACAGAGAGTGAGCAGGCCTGTGGGAAACACGTGTGTGGAGAAGAAGAGAACTGGGAACATGGCGCCTGATTTTAAAGGCTGGGCGTGGACAGATCAGTGTCACTACTACACGTAAGCGCGTAGATCACATGGCCATGTTGCGCGCTTACGTGGCTAGTGGGACGTCATGGATCTTGGTCCCGCGAGATGCCCTGACCCGGAAATGGCTATCTGGACCTGGACCTAGCTAGGCGGAAGTATCCACCAGGCATATGCAGACATGCCTGACCATGGGGGCTTGTTGTAAATCTTTCATTCCTGACTCTTTCTTTTTTAAAAAAAGAAAAAATTGTGGTTGACTGGGTATGGGGGCGACGTTTCTCTCAAAGACTGTTTCCAGCTGAATAGTGGGCGTTGGTTGGCTCTTGGGGAGCAGGGGGATGAGAGGGTATCTTGTGAAGTCCTGGGATGGTGATGGGCAGGTCCTGGAATGA